CACATAATTTTTTTAGGAAACCAGTTTCCTCTTGCATGATTAATTTCTCCACCTTATCAGGTAACTTTTTCATTATGTGCCACATACAAAAACGATGTTCAGTTTTTGTAAACACACTTGCAACATCAATTTTCTTTGCTGGATCCTGATCCGTGATCATACAATTAGGTTCATTCCCCCCCATTGCCTTGATAAATGATCTAAATAGCCACTCAAATGACACAATATCTTCCTTTGCTATGAAACCAGCAGCAAAAGTAATGCAGCTCTTATGATGGTCAACCCCTGTAAATGGAGTAAACACCATATTGTACCTGTTTACATATACAGATTAAATTTTATATGACCAAATATTTCAATGCTCATTTGACAAATGAGCAAATAATTTACTGCTCATTTGTCAAATGAGCGAATAACTCATTGCTCATTTGTGAAATAAGGCATGGTTATCATGGTTATAACATAAAAAATGAATTGTGATTATTATGTATTACCTATTGGTTTGGTATGTGGTATCAAAAGATACCATATCACCAAATAGAGCATAACTCTTTTTACAAAGGGGGTCTGCCCACAATGCTCTACAAATGCAATAATCTTCATCCATCTCAAAATCGAAGAAAATGCGCTCCACATTAGCTTTTTGTTGGTAAAGTTATCCACAAACATTTGAGCATCACTTCCTTGAATGTATGCTTTTAAATCTCTATGAAAGTTTTTGAAATCTTGCTTAGATGCACCAATGTTATCATATCCTCCAACAATTTCCTTCATCATTCGAAAAGTTGTAACGGGACCAATATTCACCTATTTAAAGATTAAAAGAGATTGTCAAATAAAAAAATTCAATGCTCAACAATTTAATGCTCTTTTTAAAATGAGCAAACAATTTAATGGTCATTTATAAATGAACAAACAAAATAATGATCAATTTTCAAATGAGCAACTAATTATTTGCTCATTTGTCAAATGAGCAAATATTTACTTGCTCATTTGTCAAATGAGCAAACAGCTTTTATTAGAACATATAGAGAATTGATGAAACATAAGAGACTTTAAAAGTGTTACCTTAGAATTATTCACAATTATTTTTTTGTGCAATATGTTCATTTTCCTTCCTTCTTTTTGGAAGAGATTGCAACTAGGTGTATAAAGTGCATGAGTATGTCCTTCATGAAATTGTGACACTATGAATTTGTTATCATCACAATGCTTTATGATAATATGTGCCTTGCACCCAACACGAGTAACGAGTCTCTTCCTTTTGATTGAAGCCTTTTCTTCATTGCTTTCTCCTTCCTTGTTATTTAAATTTTTTTCAACAGTAGCCTTTCTTTTCTCTGTGTATCCTTCCTTATTGTATAATATATACTGTGATTTCAATTCTTTGCTTCTTCTTTGTCTTTTAGTTGTAGACTTTCTTGTGTTAAATCCAGCAGCAAATGCGTAACTTTTATAGAATTCAAGGGCCTCTTCAAGATTATTAAACTTCATCCCTATAGCTGGTTTCAACTCATTGGGGCATATTGGTAGCCATTCTTTTGTTCCTCCAGGAGTGAGCAAAGGTGCTACTTTAGGAGAAACTACTATTGTAGGAGTAGTTGGTACATTTGTGATGGTATTAGAATGACTGTCAAGTTCTTCGTTGTTGCTCATCATTTCTGACATTAAATATAATAGAAATAACAAGTCATTAACAATTCCATAAAATAGTAACAAGTGAATATGCACCTCCTTAAAATTAGAACTGAAATCATTTTCAGAAATCAGAAGTGCAAGCATAAAGATGAGGGGGCAGGGGGGATAGGTTTGTATAGGGAAGTGGAAGAAGGGAGTGTGGTCGGTGCAGGAAACAGAACAAGAAGAAGGGGGTGGGGCTTGGGTACAGGCAAGCATAGCAAGTAACTCAATGAATCATGACAGTAAATGTTGTTTGGAGTCGAAGCTGATAATTTGAATTTCAGAAAAAAGATTATTATTAGATGTTTAAGCAATGTTGCTACAGAACACAAGTAGTTTTGTAAACAATAAAGCTAATTACATGTAATGTTCACAGTTTCAGGAAGCTCACTAAAAATCTCATATTTTTAACCATACTAATTACTACTTACAACAGAACATTATGTTGCTGAATCATGTTTTTAACCATACTAATTACTCCTTACAACATAACTCTTACACTCACTCTCACACACCCACACACACACACCCACACACACACACACACACACACACACACACACACACACACACACACAAAATATTTTCAGAATCTAAAACTAGAACTGAAATCAAGGAATTCAATGCTTATTTGTGAAATAAGCAAACAATTCCTTGATTTTTTGCCAAATGAGCAAATAATTGAATGCTCATTTGTCAAATGAGCAAATAATTGAATGTTCATTTGACAAATGAGCAAATAAGTATTTAGGAAGCACAATACCAGCTCCAATGCTCCATGACATTAAGTTCAAAGAGAGAAGGGCAACCATATAGCACATCAAAATACAGACCATGGCAAGTTAAAATAAGAAAAAAACAATAATTGCTAAACAATAATAGTCATTTGCTCATTTTAAGTTTATTTTGCTCATTATATTTACTGCCGCCCCTGGCCCCTGTCCCCTGCACCCTTCCATCATCACCAAATTATTTTGCTCATTTTTTTTTGGATTTGCTCATTTTATTTATGTTTGCTAACTAATATTTTTTCTATGTTATTATACATATTTATCATGCAAACCTCAAAAATCGAAAATTATCATGCAATTAACATGCAATTCAATAACCTGGCCATTGATGCAATAAAACATGCAATTCAATGATAAGTTTAATCTAAGATCATTAGAATCACTATCAAGTTTAATATGATTACATTCAATAAAACATGTAATCGAAAATTCTCAATTACTAAAAATCAAATATTATTTCTTAATTTTTGATGATAAGTTTAATCTGAGATCATTAGAATCACTATCAAATTAAATTCAAAATTTTCAACAATTGATGAAACCATAATAGTTGATGCAATGCGAAATTTTCAGAGCAATAAAATCGAAATTGAAAAGTTTAACAGACCTTGATAATTATCGAGCCTTCAAATTCTTTAATCGGAGTTATTCGTACTTGTGAAGAAGATGATGAAATCAAAATTATCAAGCCTTCAAATTGATTAATCAGTCGCCATTGATAAGTATGGAGCTTCGTTGTGCAGTCACTATTGATAAGTATGGAGCTTCGTTGTGCAGTAAAGTCGAAGCAGTTAAGCGTGCAGTGTATTTTTTAAGCACATTTGTATTTTAATCTCAGCCATTGAATTTCATATAATCTAATGGCTAGTATTGGTCCTCACATAGAAGAAGGGTCTCACATAAAGGGTGGTTCTCACCGGATCCCGACCTTATATATATATATATATATATATATATATATATATATATATATATATATATATATATATATATATATATATATATATATATATATATAAAATTAACTCTATATTTTTAATTTATTATAATATTCTTAATATATTTGATGATATTATTTATTGCAAAAGGACTACTATTTTGTCAAAATATGTTGTACAACTCAGCGATAAAAAAAACGGTAAAATTAGTGAAATTTAAAAAGTAATCATAATCAATTTTACTTAATATTGGATAATGGATATTCGAAGCATCCGATCCGAAAATTTTGGATATCCGAATATCGGATATCCGAAATTTTCAAATCGAATTTGGATATCAATTTATGATATTTGAGTATTCGGATATCCGATCCGAAATCACATTTTAGATCGGATATCCGATCCGTAAACAAGCCTAAATTTAAACATGGTTAGGAGCTAGAAGGATTGGTAAAACCGTAGACCATACACGCATACCGGCGGACTGGTGGCAAGGGGCATGGGCTGTGCGGTTGTGTTCTTTTTAACAGTCTTTTTGATGATCCTGTAAATTACAAGAATATTGAATTGCCGTTATTAGCAAAATTGTTAACTCAATAAGTCATTACAATTGACTTTTGCCTTGAGTACATCCTTGATTCATTCCCTAAATTGCCGTACCAAAAGAACTCACATTTGTCTAAGCCTTCTAAATTTTCCTGGATATCTGATGCAAGTAAATGATAATGATACCATTTGCTAAACACGGGTTTAGGCCGCACCCGCAAACTAAGAAAGAGTCCACTTCACAAGTCCAAAGGAGGTTCCATCCCAAAATCATATGGCAATAGGAGGAGTAGCCCCCAAAATCATAAAGTGATTAACTCTCTCTTTTTCAACCAATGTGGCACAGTTACATGTGGTGATACTTGGGAGGTTTATTTTTCATTACCATCCATACCAACCAAAATAGAGATACCATAAACCTAAATTCCCTTATATATTGACAATCTTGTGCTTTCTAAAGTAGGGATGACAATGGGGCGGGTCGAATTTGGATGATGGTACCTCCATATCCATACCCGCCTAAAAATCTTATACCCATTCCCGCCCCACCACCCGTGGCGGGTATAATATCCACATTCATACCCGCCCCGCCAAATACAAAATAGGATCCATCCCTGCCCTACCACCCACTTGGGTATCTATACCCACCCCAAAACCGTCCCAAACTCACTGCCATGATGCTGTATTGTATCACGTTAATCAATAATGACAATTATATCAGATTAGTTTAAAAAATTGGGACTCTTACTGTTTGGGCGGATTGGGCCTAAGGAGGTATCAAGTTTCATAAATTCTAAACTCTTCTAAAGGAAATATGGGACGGGTATAGGGCGGTATGAGGTGGGTCTGCTCTAAAATCCATACCCGCCCCATCACCATGGCGGATACACATTTTATACCCATCACCCGCCAAACCCCCCTCCATCCCCGTCCCACTTGGGCGGGGATGGGGCGGGTCTCCCATTTAACCCGATCCACTGCCATCCCTATTCCGAAGTATACGCAACTGAGACTAGCTACAGAGATTAATACCATACTAATCTAATTTTGAATATAATTGTTTTTAAATAATACTTTATACTTTGGAACAAATGCCCTAATATTTTAATTGTGTACATATTATTCTTTGGTTGACCCTTTTGGGTTACCAAATCTTTTGAGTTATGAACGAGAACATCGGTCGTATTAACTATTACATACAACAATTGCCCTTTACAATGTGAGTCATTAACTCTTGGGTGTCTAAACTCTACATGAACATAATAATTAGAGATAGAGGGGCACCAAGGCATCAAGAACTTGCGTTCAGGCTTCAGTACAACAGCACCCCATGGTCAACAGGGCGCACTTTTAACATATTTTCGAACAGATGATACATACACATACCAAAATGCTGAGGAAAATAATTGTCATGAGGAGTTTCTGTTAGAGGCTATGTCAATGTACGCGTTGACTGGATGTAGAGGATGATAAAGTTTCTGTATGCATCGTTGTTGAAATCTCAGATTGCCTACCACCAACATTCTCGGCTTCTCTGTGAGGATGTTTACCTCTTATGCTTTTAAATCTTACATCATTAGTATATGCTTGGAAGTCAGGAACCACATCTGGGACTGCCATTTCACCTTCGAGCATTTTCACCACCTCAGACATAGTAGGTCTTTCAGAAGCTGCAGCACTGGTGCACAGGAGAGCCACATTCACCATAGTTTCTGCTTCTTCTATGTTATAATTACATCCCAACCTTTGATCAACAAGTTCTACATAGTTACCACTTGTCCGCAAATGACATGCCTGCAAGTGAATGGGTCAGAAATAAAGTTAATTACAAGTTTCCTACATATTAATCGCAGAGAAAAGCGAATCTGGTAAAAAAAACCATACCCAATCTAGAAGACAAAAGAAGTCAGTAGATGGCACATAGTAGCTATTGCTCCTTCCACTGATAATTTCCAAAGTGACGATTCCAAAACTATAAACATCAACCTTATAACTTAGGTGACCCCAAATTGCGTATTCTGGCGCCATATATCCACTATAAAGGCACAAAAAAGCAAAACAAATGTCATTACATGACGTTTGGTGCTCAAACTGAAGTCTGAGGCATGTATATGACTAAGATAATGAGAAATAACTACCGAGTGTGTGTGTGTGTGGGGGGGGGGGGGGGGGGGGTGTGACATCTAGTCATAACCCATAGGGTACTACTTACATCGTTCCTGCTACTCGGGTGCTAACATGAGTCTTTTCATCCTCGCCAAGCCTAGCCAATCCAAAGTCAGAAATTTTGGGATTCAGCTCTCTGTCCAGCAGTACATTAGTAGCTTTAATATCCCTGTGAACAATCTTGAGTCTTGAATCCTCGTGGAGAAATGCTAAACCTCTGGAGATTCCGAGGCATATTTTGACTCTTTTTTCCCAGTCCAGAAAAATCTGGCTTTGTTCATGACCTACAATCATATTCAAATAGCCTAAAATTGACAAGTACTAATCAGGAATGCTACCATTGTTGATCTCAAATTTGATAACCTACCGAACAAAGCACGTGCCAGACAATTGTTTTCCATGTATTCATATACTAACAATAACTGATCCCCTTCAATGCAAAATCCATGAAGCTTAACAAGATTGGTGTGCTGAAGACAAGAAATCATGCCAATCTCATTGAGAAATTCATGATTCCCCTGCTTGGATTTGGAGGAAAGCTGCTTTACTGCTATAACAGTGCCATCGTGCATCAAACCCTGCTAGCCAATTCACCTTCAGTATTTGTTTTTCTTCAACAAATATACTAAGACATGACGTATGACTCATTGTGCACTAACATACCTTGTAAACAGGTCCAAAACCACCTTCACCTATTTTGTTTGAGGGATTGAAGTTATTGGTGGCAGTTCTGATTTGTTTCAATGTATACCCACCACCTTGTATTTGCAGTCCACCAAGATCTGTAAATGAACACGGTTAGACCATAGCATGACATCATGAGATTTAATAAAAATTACAGCAAGATAACCCCAACGTCCCCAAGACTTTTTTGTAATCATTCCAGTGCATACTTCATGTCTACATCGTACCTTTTCTGATAAGCAACAACCATATTCACCGTTAAAAAGTAATATATTTGACCAATAACAACGATAATATTCTAATAACAAGATCATCCAAACTCCAAAAAAAAAAAAAAAAAAAAAAAAAAAAAAAAAAAAAAAAAAAACAGAGGAATGTTTCGCTTTTGAAAATAATTTAAGCAAGAGCAGCCACTATACACAAGTATTGGAGAGGGAAAGAAAGTGGGTTTCAGTCATCCACATGTAAAAGTAATTTAAACAAATGCAACCCGGTGAATATCTAGATATTGGATGCATTGATCTGAGATCACGTGAATTCTCACAGATCCCTGAGGAAGCAGCAGCAACAACAACAGCAAGCATTATTCCCAAAAGGACAGGCTCACTGCATGAACTGAGAATTTATCACTTGTGGTAATCCATAAAGATCCTCTTTCTCCAATTCATTTCTGTTCAATGTAACATTGTTACATGCTCTTCCAAACCCACTTGCTTCATTCATTCTTAGCTCCCTCTATCCAAGACATCTTTGTCTCCCTTGACTCCTTTTAAATGCTCCATTATCCAAATTCTCCACGACTCCATCTTCCTTACCGGTACATCCTCTAATCGATGTCTCACATGCCCAAACCAATTTAGTCAGTTCTCCCTTATCTAAATCTCAATATATGTAACTCCAACTTTCATTCGAATATCTACATTCCAAATTTTATCATGTGACAAACGAGGTAAAAATATACAAGTTAGGCCTGTTTAGAATTATTTCTGAATCAACAGAGAATAAAGATATGCAAAACTTTCATAATCAAAGTCCATTCCGAACCACTATAATTTATCCTGGCCACAACATAAATCCAAACTAGAATGCCTCACCCAAGAGCTGATACACAAGCACCCAACTACCATGGCTTACACACTGTTAATTCAAAGTACATACCAAGGTTAAGATGATGATTCCCGAAACAACAATTTTAAAAGAACAGTCAGATTTACATTCATGCATTACGTGATCCACCTAGTAAAGAATAGCAACAACTACATGCAGCATGTATGAGCATCCCTGTTTAGAACCAATAGCAAGCGACAAAAGTTTGAGCTTCTATCTGATTTTCATAAATATTTACCAAACCTTGCTATATCGCAGAGAAACATCTTTGAAATTTATTTCCAAGATGGAAAAGTATCTCACAAAGTTGGCCACAAATGGTACAATCATAAGCCTTAAATATTCAGGGTGAACGGAGATATTAAAGTCCACATTTCTTACTCTAGCGGGACGAAAATGCAGAGTTACCACACAATCCAAAGCCAAAATTGACTTAAATCGCTATCAATGAACTTAACAGCAGTTATCCTAACTTGTGACAGGCAATTGCCCATCAGTAATATGAAAAGTATCATCACAGTGAGTTGAGAATCCTGGAATATCTCCTTAAGAATTGCACTTCATGGCATGCAGTCTAGGTTATATGAAAAATCAGTTTGTCAATTATATGTATACTCATTTACTGCCAAGCTAGAACTTTCTTTACCATCGCTCTTTGTCCTGACTCTGAAGCAGCCTTTCCACCATAAAATAAGCACAGCCAAGATCAGAAAGAAAAAGGAGACGATTCCTAGAGTGATATAAATAATCCTATGGCTTGATTGGCTTCTGCCACTTGAGCATTGTCTGGAAACTGTAGAGAGGTACACCAATATTAGAAACAAAATTAGCAATTGACACTTTGTTTGGAATTTGGATAGAAGGAAATGGAAGGAAAGGGAGGGAAGAGAAAAGAAGGGGGACCATCTCCCTTATTTTGATAAAGGATTGGGGGAAGGAAGGGGAGGGAGAAGAAGGGATCCATTTTCCCTACCTCTATAATAAGCATATTTCCTCCAAAATTGGAGAGATTTGGAAGGGATGGAACTTACCTTTCCCCTCCCTTTCTCTTCCCTCCTCATCCTTCTCTTTCCTTACCCTCCCTTTCTCTTCTACTTAGCTACCCAAACAAAGCGTGAAAAGAGTTATAGAACAATGCCTAATAGCATAAACCAAGAAGAGAGAGAAAGGTTTAAGTATCTCTGTGACGAACAAAAGATTCAATCCCTACCAGGATTGACAGAAATAGCTGAAATGAGGGGTCCATAAACTCCTCTGGTCGGAATCCTTGTTGTCCCTTTACCAGCCCAGTTTAGTCGGATCTCCAAAATATTATCTGTCACGCTAGAATTAAACACTATGACTGTTGGCTTTTGAGCACCATGAGCCTTATCTTCAATGTTGAAATCTTTCTGCACTAATTTGTCCTGTAGACAAACTTAATATCAGGACAATCGTAAATAGAAGAAGTACATGCGTCATGGAGACAACTGATTACCTGAATGTAAATATCAAAGAACCGCCTTCCAAGACTGTAATATGTTTTGTTGTTTGTGAACTGAATCTCAGCAAAGTGTAATTTAACAGTATAATTTCCATTCTCCAGGCAGTAAGTAAAATAAGTAAGTGTTACTGGGGAAATACGTGCTGTGGCATACAGATCAGATAAATTACTTCCAGGTAAATACTTAGTATGACGTATACTCTGCAAATCATCATCATCCATGAAATCACCAGTGGCACTAAATCCCCAGTTGTTTTTACTGCTCATATAATATGTGGCAACACCACCTCCAACACCTCCATCTCCTTCATAGACAACTTTTCTGTCTTCATCCTCTGCTACAAAATCATCTCCACCGCAATTAACATGCAAAGAGCAGCCATCTGCCAATAGAACAGTAAAGTAAGAAAACATTAGATGTCAATCTTGTAATATTCTTGTTAAAAGATAAACATTAGATGTCAATCTTGTAATATTCTTGTAAGATGTCAATCCAATTCAAAGGTATCTCACAAACCTATTTATATGGAGATGAAACTACAATCTTCTCATAATTACGATTTCACCTCGGATTGTATAAGAAGAGTGAAAAGTGGCAATTACACATGATGAGACAAAGGATACTGAGTAATTTTCTATATGTAGCCTTTCTTCTAACTATCCTAAGAAAAAACAGCTTTTGAAAGCCAGGCAAAAGATCATGATTCAAAAGAAAGTTGCAAGTATGGGCAAATTTTTTTATTTTTTTTTTCAAATAAAATCGCAAAAGTAAATAATTAAAAACCATTTTTACTGATGATGCAAGGTCACAAGGGTGATGATGATATGAAGGGGAAAGGCAAGAGGTAAGCATTTAATAAATTCTAGAGGGAAGACATCACATCAAGGGCACATATACAACACAAGCAAAGGAGCGAGGGCATGATGAGGAAACAGAAATGGAAGATGAAGACCTGGAAGTTGGAAGGAAGAGAGTTGCCTCTCAAATAGACAATAAGGTCCTAAGAGGGTTTCCTCCATTGGTTAACAACAAGGGTTTCAGAGCCCCAAACATGCATGTAAGTCATGTCTTTGGTAAGATATTAAGCTACAAATGAGGTAAAACCTATCTAATTACCTCAATTTAATTTTTCTCTGATCTACCTCTTTCTATATTACTCTCCTTTGGAGTGGTTATCTTACATATATTAGTCAAAGCAAGGCATCTGTAATTGCCACCTCAATTAGAAACGATATGAAGCCATAAATCTTGAGAACCCAACCACGTCATTTTTCCAACTCATCATTGATCTTATCTCTTCCTGGCTACATATATAACTGATCATCCTCTTCTCTACCACCATTAGAAAAAACTTGGTCTTGCTAAGCAAGTCAATATAATGTTCCATAAAGAGATCCTAAACATCTCAATTCGATTGAACTTCTGCTTGAGTTTGATTGATTGTTTTTTGATATAAAACACCATATATTATCCACTACAACATTTTATGTCTTCACCCAGATTTCCTTGAATAACTGAACTAAGATACATAGCAATATAACATCTGTTTCTAATGATGAAGTATGAGACTACTTAAGAGTCTGGTGCATATGCTGAAAATGAGAGAAGTTGAACATAATTTAAGATGCCTGAGTTACACATCAAGATTTTATATTAACAAATCTAGCCAGATGTAAGAAATTTTAATTCATGTTTACGTTCATTGTCATAGTTTGTACATGCTTGTATCTTACTCCTTCCATATATTCCTACAATGCAAATTAACTACCTCCCAGTGACATGGATTGTCCGAGGAGGGACCTACCAGGCTACAAATGCAGGGGATTTCCTATTCCTTCTTTGGTTAGAGAGGAATGGCAGTTATTCAGAATAGTAAAATAGATGTCTATTCTACCTCATTCTATACATATGCCTCCACAGTTTTTTCTGCGTATTTATATCACATATAAATGTGCACCCACTTCTTTTCATTTGAAAAATAAAAAGACTCATATAAATCCTCTAACTTTCTATCTCCAATAATTTAATATTCATCTCTTAAATCATACCTTGTGAATTAATAATCAGGAAAGTAGGAAACAGCTTAACACATTTAGTCCTTGTGATTGCCTTATAAATCTTTCTAGGGTGATCAACTTCAAAATTTTTTCATTAAATTATAAAATTAACATTGAGATCTGTAGTTCTCGTTCATAAACCAAAAGAAGAAGAAAAATAAAATTAACAATTGTAGATTTAGAAGAATAGGAAAACATTGAGATCTGTAGTGCTCGTTCATAAATGAAAGCAAACAATTTAAATAAAGGCCTAATTCTCACAAACAAATCAATAAAAGAATGCATATCCAGTAAAAGTTACTTACATCGTGGACAATCAATACTATTTGAGCAAGGGAGCAGTCCTTTTCTACAGAGATAAAGAAGGAAATAAATACATAAGCCTAACAAGAGTGCAAAGAGTTTAGCATGACTTTTTAAAAGCTCATAACATTCAATGTTTGTAAACACATAACTCTACTTCTACTTCACAGTAAAACCAAAAAGTAGCTTACAAACTGACACCAGTAGAAGAGCTCCGGAACAAATTTAAGTTCAAGTTCCTAGTTAACAAGTAGCGGGCAGAAAAAAGAATGTCAGAACACCACCAAACAGGTAACACAAAAAATATATTATATACAAAGTAACTGAAAAGGGGTAGGCTCACATGTTTTTTCTACACGAGGGCTGCTCAGGACTTTGCCAAGTGAAATTATTGTAGGAAAGATCACTGCAAGAAAACATCAACCAGCTGTCAACTTCTACATGAAAGATCAAAATTAAGTGAAAACAAGTGAAACAACTAAACAAGAATACCCTAGTTATAGCCAGAACCAGCAAATTCCATTGTCATAAGAGGCTACAGAGAGGTCAGAAACACAAAAGATACACCTATGCGCAAAGCTGAAGTTCAATGAGGAAAAGCAACTCAAAGCTATAGAAGTTCAGCAGCATTTTTAGCATAACAATTTCAACTATTTAAATCTCTTATTGACTAAGGATTAGGAGACAGCTGCAGTGTCTTATTGTAGACGGTAAATTTTCAAACAATAACTATCTTGTAAAGCCTATTAGGAGCATCCAAAATCCTTTAAGTCTGCATAAACCATGTAAAAGTCATATAGTACCTAATGATTATAGTCACCTGAAAACTCTACAGAAAAGAAATTTTGTGTGGCCACATCGTCCATATAGTAGCATGACTAGCATCCATTCAATTATTTCACAAAACAAGTAAACAAGCATTTCATCTCAATGTCTTAAAATATCTAAACTGCATTATAAACCCTCTATCCCATATTACAATTTACCCGAGCGGAGGGGGGGGGGGGGGTGGGGAGGGTGTAGAGGATGTTAGGATGTTACTTCAAGAGAAATTTTGCGGTAGAACATTTAATTGGTAATAGTGTGAAAAGTACAAACGACTAGAGATAGTGTGTAATTTTATATTGGAGGAGAGAGAGAGACTAGGGGTATGTTAGTTTTATCTTATTGTAATTTAATTTAGATAAACTAAGTCCAGATTTGTTTAGATAAGTTAGAATAAGTTAAAAAAACAAGTTAAGACAAGTCCTGGAAAAAAATATTTTGTAAAAAAATCTGACAATTCACACACAAATAAGACAATTTCAGACAAATTAATTTTTTCAAACAAAGTAAATTCAGACAATTTCAGGTAAATTTAGTTTAGATAATACATGTTGAAACAAACCAAGCACGATGTGATCAAAGATAGTAAGTAATATAAAATTGAGTGTTTCAAAAAAAAAAAAAAAAAAAAAAAAAGGGTTATATAATATTGAGGAGAGAGAAAAAATAGATGTAATTGGAGATAATGGGCAAATCAGCAATTACAAATATGCTTGTAAATCACTTTAAAAAGAATGTAGGCAAATTACTAGATCATAAACTTAAGAGGCTAGAGAAACAATAAGAGAAGCCAACCACTTACAAGAGAAGACCATGAACTACACTAACAAAAATTATGGCTTACATGTTCCTTCCATCTTGCAATAAAGAAGAAGGTACGTTTCCACTAAGCGTGTTACCTGTCAAAAATCTGTTCATAAAAACAAAAATGCCCACAAGAATCTTAGTTAATATCAAGAACAAACATTGGGAACATTGTTGTGATTAATTCTGCTACTGGAAAGAAAGCAGCTGCTAATAAATCAAGAAACATGCTACAGTTAATATTTAATAGAGAATTGGGCAGTTACAGTGAGCTGGCAAGGATGGAGGGGTTGTTTGGAGTTCATGAGGCAAGAAAAGAAGCTCTAGTAGATGGAAATGTGGTACCCACTAGTGAGAAACAAGAGCAAAGAGTAAGTATATATCCTAATTTGAAGATTTTCAATATTGATTAGTCGTCTTACAGGTGTGTATGAGATTTTGGCCAAGGTTGTGTTGGTTTGTGACCCATGTACTTTTGTGAATTAAGGTATATTTTGGATGGAGCTATACTATCAGATAATGGTCAATGATGCTAACCAAATATTTGGAGTGGTTAGAAGGGTATCAATTTTAAGCTTGATTGTGATAAGGCTTATAGCTTGAGCTGGAGTCTCTTCAATATGATTGATGTGATGGATTTGAAATTGAAAAAAGGGAGTGATATTAGGGGGTGTTTGTTGTTTGCAAATTTTCAAAACTATTTGGAAGGCAAGCTAGTGGTTGGGCCTCAAGGGGGTTGTGTCAAGAAAATCATCCCCTTCCCTTTTTTATTATCTACCCTGATATCCAAATGCCTCCAATTAGTCCTCTTCATGCTACTGGTGAAGTAGTTGATTATATTCAAGGCTTCAAGAGAGTTTTTCTGGGGAAAGGGGAAGGGGGGCTCAGTTTCTCGTAGAGGTCAATCAGGTGATATAAAATAGATGATGGAGCCACCACCACTCCTCCGCTTTCCCAAAGTAAAGATAGCTTCCTCAAAACCCCCCTTTGGCTTTGCCCACTAGTCACAAACTCGCAATCCCCTATTCCCATAATATTACTATCGAGTCCTTAACTTTCTCTTCATTTACCCCTTTGGCCCTTCCCCAAAACCTTATCATATTACGAGGGATTGGCAAACTGCAACTCTTAAGGGGTTGTTTGGTTTGTTAAATTTGATTGGAATGGTATGTAATCTCATACTAGGTAGGTATGGATTCATAATCTCATACTAGTCTTAAGTTGTTAGGTTTATTGTTGGAATGGTTTTTAAATCTCTTAATGGAATGAATTGTGAATCTTAGGGGGCGAGATGGGTATGGGATTCTAGGGGGATGGGGTAGAGTTAATCCTTTTGGTATGAAATTTCATTATTAATGCACCTAACCAAACAATTAAATGAATGAAATGGACACTAACCCTATCCCAAGAGCTCAAACCAAATGCGTCTAAGAGAATTAAAGAACAGGACTAGAGAATTAGATTGAATGAGAAAGAGGAAGCAAACTGAGGGTCAATGACAAGCTTCACCTCCTAGGTGGAGTAAGAGGTCAATGGTAAACACCGGAGATAACAAACTGAAATATCAGCAGACATACGAGCAGAATAAGATGGAAAAGGAAAGGGGAAAGGATATTGAGAATTTTTTAGATTTTTCCTTGTTTAAATATAAAACTATCAATGGCCTAGTAAATAATAAATTAAAGTAAATCAGAATCTACATTCTAAAATAATGAAAAATTTTAAACCAAAGGGTCATTTTGTATAACTGGAAAGTGTTTTACCATATAGAAAATTATGAACAAAGGGATTGCATCTACAACTTCCTTTATTTTTTCCACTAGTTAAATTTCAAAGGACTGTTGGCCGCTTGGCCCTCTTAATGTTGTCATTATTTTCTGATCACCTACATCATTAAAACTAATACTTAGACATTGGAAGGGGTTAGTTGATATTCATTCCTTAGTTTTCCAAAGAGTGTGTTTAAATGTTTTGGGTTAATTGACAGATTGACCTACTAGGGGTGTTGAAAGAGTGTAAACCCTATGACAGTTGTTGGCTACATGAATAAATCAAATAGACCACCGTATTAGAGCAGGAAAGAATAATGATTGGTATAGTACATTTTGGAAACCTCTAAGGCTGATCACACCAGATATATCCAGCATGGCATTAAGGCACTAAGGCCCTGGCCTGACAAGAAAATACACGACTCAGAAGCATGGTAATCATATTTACAAGGAAAAATTAACAACAAAGGTCTCAACTTTGGGTGATTTTCTTTAAAAGGTCTCAGCTTTCAATTAACTAAGGGTAGTCCCAACTACAACAATTTCTTCTCAAAACAGTCTTGTATGACTTTTTTTTTTTAAGAAACAGTCTTGTATGACTTGTTACCTGTTAAACCGGTAATATTTTTTAATTACAATAATTTATTCTTAATCTCTCTCCTTTCGCGGCATAACCACCACAACTCCTCCTAGTCACCACTCTCCACACTTTAACCACCAATCTACCACCCCATCGTCACCACCATCATTCTTCTTTTACCTCCATTTATCTCCTCCTCTTGTAGCATTTGAGTTATGGCATGCTAAAATGGAGGCGATTTTCGGCCCTGATCCATCTCACCCTAATCCCTCAAGCTCACTCACCGTAAAGTCAGAGCCACGGTCGCAACTCTCCTCCAAAGCTGCTGGTATATCCCTGGTTTTGGATAGCTACTAGAGCTTTTGATTTTTGCATAATTGGCGTAGTATATTGATGGGATTTACAGAGATGATTTTGTAGTGTGGATGGGCTAGTTGGTGGTCGTTTTGGGATGAGGGTGGGCTAGACGGTACAGTGGTGATTTCATGCCTTCGGGGTGTGCGTTGATTGGTGGTTTGTGGTGTGGCTCGTGTGGGTGGCTAGGTGTATTTGTGGGGGTGGCCTGGGTTGGTGCTTTTGTGGTTGGGGTAGGTTAGAAGGTGGTGATTTTGTGGTGGGGTAGCTGCAGGTGGTTGTTCAAGCAAGGTGTTGGTTGGAAAGCTTAGAGAGGAGGGGCAGCCAAAAAAAAAAAAAAAAAAAAAAAAAAGAGCCAATGAAACAACGCCACGTGGTTCATTTAACTGGTTTAGCAGGTAAGTTCAGGTCACGGACCGCTAGATGAAAATATGTACAATAGTTGGGACTGCCCTTAGTTATTTGAAAGGTGAGACCTTTTAAAGAAGACCGGACATAGTTGAGACCTTTGTTGTTAATTTTTCCTATTTACAATCACTTTTCAAATTATATTACATTCTCTACATATTATTTCAGGGACTTATAACTTATACTAAATAGAAATAAAATAGACCAAATCAGATTTTTTTATAGTGTTTTCTTGTGGCCAATCATTTAGAATTTCGTATATATCATGAATATTAGACATTTGGAAAATACACATTAAGACGACTCTTACAAACTTCACTTGATATTATTTTATATTAATTATAGGCACAATTACGACAAAAGTTCAGTAAAAGTAGGAGATAAGATCAGACCAGCTAGATCAAACCTTACAAAATACTGACCAAACCTTCTTATTTTGGCGAAGAAAACATAGCCTAAGTATCCACTTTTTAATTTATATATATGATAATAATTAAATTTGCATTTTTACATTCTTATCTATTACATGTACCTTTTTCTAATTTTACTTCTCTCTGTCTATTTATTACATAATAATTCAGACAGTTGTACAAAACGAAAGGTAAAAGGGCAATAGTTTCTCCCTTGATTAATTGCACAATAAACCATGATGTATAGCATTAACATTTGCAAAATGACTAGAACCATGAATTTTGAGTTCAGAGAGCAACTCACATAAACTTCACGTTCTTAACATTGATGTCATTTGGAATTTCACCCACTAAATTGTTCAAGCTAACATCACTGTAAAAATGGACAAATATCTGACATTAGACCATTATTTGTGAAACAATAAAATCCTAGAAAGCATGGAGTGGCAGGAATTCTCTGATGGAAAATATAACCACAGATATTAAAAATCACCGTAATGAAAATAGTTGAAAAATACACAAAACATTCGAGCAAAATACATATCTTAAGTCATTCCACTTGAATTCTAAACTCTAAAGTGTCTTTGTGTCCTTATACTGGTGTCCTAAATGAGTTATAATTTGGGGTTAGGGTTAAAGTAAACTCTAAAGCTGAGTATTTGAGAGAGATTTGAGAGGCACAATAGGTTAAGAAATCCACTGAGGGATGCTTAAGTTCGTTGGGAAACTTGAGCTTGAGTCTTAGGTTGTAATGGGTTGTTGCCCTATTATTATTAATAAGAGTTGAGTTAAATTCTAAATAGGTTGTGGTTTTTCTTCTTGTTGGGCAAGAGAGTTTGTCCACACTAAACCTCTCTTGCATTATTGAGTTCCTTGAATTTTAGTTTTCATTCCACAAAATTTGCCTAAGTGCCTCATTCTCTATTTCACCCCTCTCATGTAGTATGTCTGGTCAACACAATCATTGGTGATCCTCGTTTACTCCTTTTCTTTAGTAGAAGAATGACACATGATGCCTTTTACATACTAGGTATAGGCTTTCCCCTTTTTCTCCATCACGTCAACTAGGATGATAATCGTGGGACATAAAGAATTGAAGTAGCAAAAAAGTTTAGCAGAACGAAGTAAGACAACAAATTAGCAGCACTAGAAGACTAATATCGAGAAATAGGAGACAACCACCTACACAAAAATGTTATTAGAGAACGGGGAACACCACCAAAGCTAAACAGCAAATAAGATTCTATCCCTAAGTATTTTGAGAAACACATAAATTCTACTAATAATGCGAGACACATCAGGCATGGCCTCAGTAGGCCTTCCCTAAGTTATTCTCCCAAGACCCCAACTATATAAATGTAACAAACTGTAAAGCAATGATCTGGAGGTGTAGTACATTGCCACTATTAACGACATACTCCCTCCGTAAGTCCGTATTATTTTAAGTTAAATGTTTCTCATGTGCACGTATGCCGATCCAAAACTTTGAGCAATATATCTTTAATTATCAATAAGTAAAAATTATAAAAATGGAACGATTCCAACAACTACTCAAAAGACTATTTTTTCTAATGTATAAATCAATAACATTAGTCAAAATGGATTAGGTAAATAGTGCAAAAAGTCAAAACATTTCACTTTAAAAAATATGGAGGGAGTAACTCAATACATAGTATGATAAATCCATTGCCAAAATTAGCGATTTTTTACCACTACTTCAAAATGAATAAAGTACTGTTCAGAATCCGCAACAATGGGCCGGATAATGGCAGAAGCTATCTGGTAAGATTGGCCCTGAAGCCCTGAATAGCAGATGTCACTAATCACAGTCAGCATATACAGCCCTGGGGTCATATTAATTTGCCAAAAGCATGCCATGACAACTTTCTATTTTCTGCATAATTGAGTTTTACCTGTATTTGCCACCAAGGCTACCACATTTCCCACAACAAAACTTATACGAAAACTTAAAATCAACATATAAAAGCTAAATTTTGACACCATAGTATAAGTTCCAAGTTAGTCACTTACATCATTTTTAAACTCGTTATATCCCACAAATACACAGGAAGCTCTCCAGCAATGCTACAGTTCCTCAGCACACTAAAAACCCAGAAATGATCAATTTAGTGAAAAGCATTGTAACAAAACTTTAGTTTTATGATACAAGAGTTCAACATACTTTTAGTTATATGATATAAGTGTTCAACATACAGTCTTACTAGGCCAGTCATATTCCTCAAATCCGGAAAATTCTGAATAGATCCATTGATGTCGCTGATTCTCCTGTGAATTCAGATATCCTTCAAGACATTGCGTTACTGAAAGTGTCAAAATGCTACAGCTTATCACATATACTCACAATTCAGTTAGTCCATCCAAGAAAGATATTGAAGACGGAATAGGCCCTTGAAGTCCACTTGCATGCATTTCCCTGCAAAGATGCAGAGCAAAAAGATTAACACCCAATTACAGCAGAATGAAGTAGCAGCCTCTGGCCAATGGCGCAAGTATCTTACAGTCTTTGAAGCTGTTTCCAATTTTCTATATAATGCGGTATTATCCCATTAAAGTTATTATCGTTAATCCGACTGCATTGGTCAAAAAGGAAAAAGTTAAGTCATGGCAAAGGACAATATGAACGAGCGATGTTTTACACTAGTTGAAAACTTACAGATCTGATAAGTTTGTCAGGCCAGCAAAAGTTCGAGGTAGTGTTCCTCTTAAATCATTTGACGACAGCACTCTAATTTCCATACCATAAGAGAGAAAGTATATGATCAAACCTGATGTAACTTGATTATATACTGATCAATTAAAGAGCTGATTTCTTAATAGAGGAATAAGTTACTCACAGTGTCTTCAAGTTAACTAATTCCCCAAGTTCATCAGGAAGTTTACCACTAAATTGGTTGGCCTCAAGACTCCTGGAAAGATTGCATGAGAGACATTACAACATATACACCCAAATGTGAATCATTCAACATAGGCTGAAAAATAAGTGAAAAAAAATATTTCCAAACCCTTTCACAAAAATATATAGTCAAGAAAACCTACAAACCACATTATTTTAGTAAGAAGCTTTACCCGAAACCACTCTTTATTAACATGCACAAAAGCATCTGAATTCATTTAACCAACCATACATTAATTTCTGTTAACAATACGCCACCCACACAAAATTTCTACATCGGACAAAAATACCCTTATATAGGCCTTTACTAACATACTTTCTTCCTCCATAAATGCAGAAAGATAATTGGGGGACTACATTAAATATAAAGGAGAAAAACGACAAGAGAGGGAAATATGTAAGGATTAGGGGACTGTAGGTATACAGAAAAGTCTATGTGATTGCAGATATATAACAAATATTAGCATACCAATAGTTAGATAGATATTGTAAATATGGGAACAAAGTGGCAAGAATAAAAGGTGGTTTCAACACATTACTTACAAAAACACATTGAATTCCATAGACCAGGAAAAACAGCTACCGAAGACAATGAATGGTAGAGTTCCCAGATATGCTGATAATGAATGTAAGTATTCACAGAAGTAACTCCCTAGATAACTGCCAAGGTAGTAGATTGGATAAAATGAGACATACAAGGTAGTGAGGCTGCCAATTTTTCCCAGCTCCTTGGGGATTTCTCCAGACAACCGGTTTGAAAGAAGAGAGCTGCATGAGTTTCACCTGCATGACTAAGTAAAATTCGGACTTCAAAAACAATTAAAATGCCAGTAATATTAACATGCTTACATGTATTCTAATTGCAGTGAAGCCCATTCCACAGGTATTCCTCCTGATAGATAATTATAGGCAAAATCACTGCAAGCACAGCAATGAATGATGTACACTGTAATTAGATAATAAAATGGGTAGAAGAGAAAGAACAGATGTCTAGTTCTTACACTTCCCGAAGATAAGGAAGCTTCACCAATTCACGTGGAAGCACTCCAGGAAGACTGTAACGTTTGAGAAATCTGCAATGCATACAGTACATCCATTTCTATTTTACTACCTTCGAAAAAGTTATACAAGTTTCAATGTAAAACTAGAAATCCTTGACTTGTATTCCAAACTGTACAGCATATCGAAGAGATGAATGAAATAAGGCTATAGAAATGAGATTAGGAAATAGTACATTCTTACAACATGACAAGTGTTGTTCTCCTGATGACAATCACAGCTAATTTCACTTTCAGCATCCAATGGTGACTGTGGTGTTGCTCCAGCCAATTCAACTTGACAAGAGACATTATCAAACTTCCAGTACTTGGCACCCAATATTTGAAATATTTCTTGGAGAGCAACCACTACAAAACAGAAACAAATCACCACATCTATGGGTTTCTAAATTCATAATGTCAGCTTTTAAATGGAATGTTAAACTTCTGAATTACTATCAAGAGAAGTCAGAGTGATCTCAAACTATCCACTACATCAAAACAAGACTTTATTGTCTAGTCGTAGATGGCAAGATTTTTGTCACCAAAAAAAAAAAAAAAAAAAAAAGAAAAAAAAAAACAAAAAAAAATTAGATGGCAAGATTTTGAGAACACTCTATAAATAACTTAGCTTAAAATGTTTGCACCTCTATCAATTACTTTCTTGTGGTGCACACGAAATGCATTAGTGATGGCAACGTCAGAAAAGTAATAGAGTGCTCATGAATAGTTTGGAATCAGCTCAATTAAAAGTCCAACTCAGCTTCAGTCATCTGCTAATTTGCTGAGTTCAAACTTGAATTCAACATTTGAGTTTAGAATGAGCTAATCATGAAATCCTTTGAATTGGGCTCATGGTTATAGGCTTGTGAACTTCAAAATATACTGAGTACTTTAGTACATGTCTTTTATATTTTAGTGAGCTTTGTATATATCCTTTACCCTAACTCATTAAGTCCTAAAAATACATGGAATAAGTTAATTCTTATCATAACTTGCCTAGGTCAAACATGATAGAGAATATATGCACAATATTCCCTTCCTAAGTTTAAAAAAAAATTTGGAAAATAATATTATCATTACAGATCTCTCTAAACCTAGAAAGAGAATATTTCGTATGTATTCTCTATCAGCATAATATTCATATAAGAACACTATCATAAAGCCAAACAATAGCAATCTGATGTGCTCAAGTTCAAATTCAAGGCCTTCTAAAGTTCAAAGTTAAACTCAATTTATAACATTCTATTCAACCTAGAGTCAAGCTATGTAGTTTTGAGCCAAGCCATGTTTAGTATTGTCTTGTCATTGATTAATGCAGGACCAGAGCTCCTTCCCTACAAACCCTTTGGCTCAAATTTATAAGGGAGCAATAATATAAATTAATAGAGCAATACTAAGTTTATATGTATTGCATGAAATAGTCCATGAGAAATTTCTCAGTTATGCATATTTACTAACAAGATAACAGATCTATGTTTTTGTCATTAATTTCATTAATACTCATGTCCATAAGTCTACTTTTTAGTCGAGATGCATAACTTGAGGACCATTAGTTTCATCTTATTTTAACTTAATTTATTTTATTTCAGACAAAATAAGTTTTATAAAACCATATACAGTAAGTTCAAACAAGTTCAAAGTAATATAAGTTCATTACAATACAATTTCAAACAAAATCCGATAAACTAAATAGAACCTTAGATACATTCACATAGCTCATTCCACATTAATTTTGAAATCTCTCTAATTTTTTATTGCAAATGCATAACTGAGCTATAATCACATAGCTCATTCCACAATATTTTTAAACACACTCAAGCTAACCAGTGCATTCCCCTAATATAAGATCCTTTACCAAATAAACCACTTGAACCTTTTAAGTTTTTAAGTATATAGATAAAAATAACATAGGTTCACTCTCTTGTCAAAAAAAAATAGGTTCAACCCCCTAATAATATAATCAGGTTTTCTCTAATTCCCTCCTCAGTCCTCACACTCTCTAATTAAAAATAAAATATAAATTAAATAAATAAGCTTAGGATTTGGAAGACTCCGATTACCTTAACAGGTAAGAGGTAATCACAACCATAAAAATTAAAGCGAGGCAACTATTCTAAAAACATATAACAACACACACAGATTCTTAATGGTATGTCCTCAACATTTTTACTACCACTACTAGTGTCCAGTAACCCTTCAATCCTTCACCATCCCACTTCTCAGCCAATACTTCAGGAAAAAAAATTCACTACAAATACGTTCGATCCTACATGGACGGTATCACATTATTATTATCGAAACCAATGAAAAATGAGAGACAGAGTGAGTATAATTTTGGGCACAATGAACTTTATAATGGGTCTTTATAGCTTTTGAGAAAAATGGATAATTAACCACCAACCTTTCATCATCTCACTTTCCAGCCTATAATTAGAAACAATATACCGCTGACAAACCGACAGCAAATATTAAGAAACAAACAAAACAAATTATCCATTCTTGTCTATTTACAACCATATTATCCTTCTAAATTCATAAAATGATTATCAATATTAAAGCCAATTAAAAAAAATTAATGCAAAAGTTAGAAATTAATATAAGGAAAAAAAATCTAACCTTCATTTTCATGTACTCTGGAGTGTAATGGATAAAGAAGAAAACCCAGAAAAATTATCAACACACCAAAAAGTTTGGCCATTAAAATGAATTGGGAAGCTATAAAAAATTCTGGGTGTTCCAACAAAAAATCATAATTTATGAATTGAAAGTATGATTACTCAACAGAAATTATGCATTGGAGGTTGTATCAGTACCAAGAATTAGAGGAAGAAACTAAATTGTAAGCTAGATTCATATAATAATTAAAAGTAGTTGTATTACTACTATTATTGTTTGATAATTCAAATGCAGAAAGAGATATTGGCCAAAGATTTGTCAAAAAAATCAATTAGTGGATAAATAGGCTGTCACTGAAGTACTTGACTTTGACTATACAACAGTGGAGTTCGGAATACTAAAAGTCATCTGCGCTAATTGCACAGTCTGATCATGGGCCGGGGCGGGCCAAGGATTCGGGATAGGACAGTTCGGGCCAACTTCAAGCTGAAAATATCGTGTCCGAACCTGATATTTCGGACCAAAAATAACGGACTTTTCTAGCCAAAATTGGACGGACCTAATTTTGGACGGCCAAAGCCCTAAAAAAATTTTAAAATCGGACCCAAAAAATCTACCCAAATCCATCATTATTTGTATCAGGGCAGGCCAAGCCTAAATCTGTATTTGGCATAATATAAACTAGGATACATGGACACTCCATCCAACTATCGCTTGAGAATTGAGATTAACGTTTTCCTATATTCGTTTCGTACTCGTATATGTGTCAGTATCCGTTCCTGTACAACCTAGATTATAAATGGACTAACACCGACCGCAGACCTAGTTTTCCGTCAAACTTAAAACACAATATCGGAAACACCATTCAAAGTTTCACGTATATTAATGCAAAGTTTTACTCATAAATATCTTTGATTTGATTTCAGCAAAATAACATAAAATTGATCAAAACAAATTTGAAAAGATCATACTTAACTTTATCTATCAATATCTAATAATAAAGCAATACTTGTAAGAGTAATTTCACACCATTTGTAAAAAAATTGTAAAGTTGTTACGAGTAATATTTTTTTCAACGCTACCCTAAAAATGATTGTGAATACAAAGGTTTACTAATTAACTAATTTAAGTGATAAATAATACCACATTGTTAAATAAGGATTTCTTATATTATACAGTAATAAATTAAACTTTGAGCATTTGGTCAGAGATTTTCAAGTATTTATAACAAAGAAATACTCACTGCTTATATCATCTTTTCTAAAGGTGTCAAAACCCAACCTGACTGATCTAACTTAAAACCGAGTTGAAAAAAAAAACCAAATTGAGATTTCAACTTGTATGAACACAATAATTTAGCATGACTCAAATCTAAAATAAGACATGACCTAATCCGATTCCACCGAATCCGACCCGAACACTCGAATAGACACCTTTAATCTTTTCACTCCCAAACTTTTTAGTATCCTTGCCCAAACTATATCTTTTCTCTTTTTTTTTCCATAATATTCCTCCAAACAATTTGAAGGATTTATGTCTTCGTCAAGTGCAATTACTAGATATATCATGGATCAATATTATGGAGATAATAAGTTCATTCTTTTGGGTCCATCATTGTCTGTTGCTAGATATGATAAATGATCTTTGGGCTAGTCAAATAGTCCAAATCCCAATAGAATGGATCCTATAAGGTCACACATAAGGGTCATGGATTGAACAAAGCATGAAGCTCATTCACGGGCCTCATGAGGTAATGACAAGCCACATGAAAAGTAAGGCTAGAGTAGTTTGGGTTGATTAGGAGTTTGGACTTTACATGGACTATAATTATATAAGAAATATATAAATAGAGGCCTTGCTTAGGTTAAGCATGCAAGTCAGAATTAACCTAGGCCGTAAAGTGTGAAGCAAGCAACCAACCAATCTCTCCTATCCCCTCTATCACACGGCTCTCTCTCTCCCCTCGTCCCGTACAACCGTACAAACCACCCAAGCAAGGTGGTTGCTCTCGGTGATGGTGGTGGTTCGTGACTTGATCGTTTCCTATCCTCTCAGTAGAAGGTAAATCGAAGGGTTCGTTCTCAACTAACTAGCATTAGTGGAGATTTTTCTAGCCCGTGGACTAGTATCTATAATCCTATTAGTAGTATCAGTTAGCGTAATGCATGTATGCATATTAATCATAATTCTTTGACGTACACAAATTTTAATTCAATTAAGAGGGAGAATAATTTATTCATGGGTCAATTATTATTTTAAGGTGATTTAACAGATGGAATCGTTAAATATGATTTAATTGCTCAATTTTTGCCTAAAATTTGACCGATTTTGCCCTAATATGTTTGAAAAATTCGAACCCCCCAACCCTAATTTCGGAATTTTTTAAACCCTAAATTTTGATTTTGTGTTTTGTGTTTTGAATAATTTCGATTGTTTATAGTTTCATGAATTTAATTTAATTGATTCATGTATAAATTATGAATTTTGCATGATCGATGATTTAATTAAAGTGTTAAATTGAATTAAAAATTATTTTCATGAAGAACCCTAATTTTACAATTAAATGTGATTTAATTTTAAATTACTTGGACTAATTTAATTAATAAGTGTTGATTTTAATTAAATTAAAACACACCACTCACACACACAAAAAAAAAAAACATACTACTTTTTGGCTTATTTGGGGCGGTGGTGCAGCCACGGTGGCTGCCGCCGGTGGTGAACCAAGAGGGAGGGCATGGGCGGGGCAGCAGGTCCAAGCAAAGGAGGCAGCAACAGCATCGTGCAACAGTTGTGCGGCACTGCTGCTGCCGTGTGTCCCTGCTCTGCAACGTACACCATACGGTGTACGGCCACCGTGGTTGGTTTCGGCTGGCCACACCACGATTGCTTGCGCTATTTTTCAAAAATAAAAAATTATTTAATTTAAAATTCAAAATTAAAATCAGATTTTATTTTGAAAGATAATATCAAATTTAAAAGTTCTTATTTTGATAAGTTTTCAAAATTAAAGTTGTTAATGTTGATTAGTTTGTTAGGATATTTTGAGCAAAAGATTCCATATGGATAATTATTGATTTAATAATAAGATTATCCCATAATTATTTTAGGATATAATTGATTTAAAATTATGTGATTGGCTAGTAATTAGGATAGAATCTCCTAAATTAGTTAGGATAATCATGGAGAATAAATATGATTCTTTCCAGATTAAAATAAGATTTGATTCTATCTCATACCTAACTTAAAATATATGATATTTAATAAATGGTCATGAATAATACATGATATTATCTAATTACAGATTAAAATATGAGATATTTTGGTACCATGTTCCTTAATTATGAACATTCGATGTTGTAGTTTAGGCAAGCATGTTTACGTAATATTTATTATGTGGTAATTTTATAATATATGATATTATGTTGCTATATAATGACTAGTATGGCCCTGTAGATTACTAAATACGATCTGCGCATTGTGATGTGTTTTTGTAATCTAAATACGGTATGCGTACCGTTAAGTATTTTGTAATTTATTTTATATTTAAGTATTAAATAGAATAGAGTAGAATTACAAGTTGCAGTTAATCCAAGAAGGGCATGGAGTGAAGGCCCAAAGGAGCAAGGTGGATGAGATCCATGAGATTCAAGTGGGAGCTTTTGGTTTACTAGTTTTCTTAGGATTAAGGGGCCATACTATGTCTTGTTTATTTATGCATTAGTAGATTATGCATGCTAGGTTTTTTTTTTATGTTTATGATGATGCGCTAGAGTTCACTAAATTAATCACAACATAATAAATCTAGATCCAAGAAATATTGAGATTGTTTTTCCAATTAAATACCCAACAACCCTTCGATCGTGAGTGACATGTCTGCCTCCTCAGGGTGTCACTTGTTATCTTAGGTAATTTGGGGTAGGTCACGTTTTACACATTTAATTGGTTGTGCTTAACAAGGTTACCTAAAGCATTTAGAACCTTGAATCAAAGGGTAATAATTAAACATGAGATGGCTAATTATTCAACCAAGAGTTACAATTTGTAAAGAGTTTACTTACCTTGAAAATGTAATGGTTGATGGTAAGGCCTCATTCCGTTCAACTATTACACAAATAAAGGATCTTGGAATCACTTAATACAATTGGGACGAATTTTATTGATAAAGTGCTTTAAAGTTACCTAATTAACAAATTTTATGGTGCTTTAATGTTTATTAACATATTATATATTGAACTTTGCCTTATTTTGTTTGTAGAGCACTAATGAAAGCACTCATTTACCACTAAGAATAAGGCTAAACTTAAGAAGCTTCAGAGATTGGGAAAGGGAGCTTAGAAATGTTCTAAGGAGACAAGCTCGAAGCTCGTCGTTATATTCCAATCGAAAGCTGATTTACAGTTGGATTTACTTCTGAAAGGCACACGAAAGATAATTCGGATGCAGAGAAAGTCAGGAATCTCATCTTATCTTCTACTTCAATCCATTGGGCTAGAAAGTTTGAGAACTATGAGCCAACCTTGTTGCTAAATTGCCTATATGATGAATGTAGAGGATGTGTACGACCATTAGGCAAAGCAGGTGTAACACCCTAGAATTTCCTTTCCTTTAAAATATCTGTTTTGCTATTTTTGAAATACAAAATAGGAAAATCTAAGACATTACTGTCACCGTGAAAACGACTAAGGCAATTATCAAAGACACACAGCAGAAGACTCACTTTAAAAACCATTCAAAACAAGTCAACTCAAATAGTCAAACCAAACGAAAGTAAAGTTAAACCAAAATCAAATATAGTCAACCTACAACTTGAAACCATTGTAGGCTCTTTCCAAAACCCAAACGAATAATAAAACCTTTGCGTTAATGTCACAAGCAATTTTATAATAATAAAAGCAAATAAAACATATCATATTCATATGGAAACTAAACAGGATTCTCTCTTCACTCATGCCCATCATGAATATGCTTCATCACTTGAAAAGTTTCTCTTTACTTTGTCCCCACTACTCGCCATTAGAATTGTTCGTCGTAAGGCCAAGATAAAGACAAGGCCAAACAAACATACAAACGCACAATCAGCAATGCTGAGTGCATAAGCGTAAACAGTTACACATTAACATGCTTTTATCCTATCAACACACAACTTACCTTGTTGCACCTATTTACAATCATACAACATACAACACAACCAACCAATAAATAAATAAATTGCTTAGTTAATTTGATTACGCATCGAACGGGATTTCCCCCTAACCTGCCCCAATAAAGGGGTACTAACACAGGAGCTAACCTTGCCAGTATAAAAGAACCACTCGTAA